CATGCTAAAATTTCATCAATATTCATCCATGTGAAATCATCTGGGGTCAAATAGTCTTCTTGTTCCAGAATTCTGTGAAGTTTCTCTAGGGTTTTTGATTCTTAACAGGGAGAACTGGCGAAGTAAGAATTCTGTGGTGGACTGATTCACTGCTGAGGATCATAACTGGGTAAAGAAAAAGGGTTCAAATATAATTGGTCAAATATAATGTAGCAGGAAGTCTTGATATATCACACTTATTGGGATCTAATTTATATTGAATGTATTTGTTTGAAGGTTTGCCATGAATCTTTGGCTTCCATTGAGTCTTATAGTATAGTTTCTGTTAAAGATGTACCTTGAAATAGCAACAGATAAAAAGTCAAGGGCAGTTAAATTAACATCCTCAAAAAGTTTGTGTGTGTATGTGTCTAAGTTTGTGTGTGCATGTGTCTAAGTTTGTGTGTGCATGTACTAAGTCGAGCTAAATATTTGTCTATGCAGATTAGGGGAGTGACCTTGCTGTGCAGTTGAGGTACTCTCACAATCTGAAAATTATTTTTAAGGTAGACCCCACTTAGCTGACCTTTGCATTAACTATAGGAAGCATCTCATCAGCCTGCTAGAGTTTGTTGTGAATATTTCTTTCTCTGGTGTTCTGCAACTTCCCTCCTACAGGTGGAATCTGTTCAGATTGACAGATTTTTACACAGCATCTTTCCCTTGCCTCTTCCTTCAGTCTCTCACAGTGTTTCTCCACTGGTGTATAAAAGGAAGTTAGTGTAGGGGGATTGTATCCACAAAACCATTTGTGTTATATCAGGGCCATCGCAAGGATTTTTAGGTAATTTTACCACTGGACACTTTCTGTTCCACATGCTAGTGTCATAAGCTGAGCAGAAAGATCCCATGAACTCGTCTTTGTTCCAAGATCATTGGCATGGCTCCAGTATCTGGATGATGTACCACCATTACCATCTCTCAACATCTTTAGATACATCCACGGCTAGAGAGGTATTTTCTGAAAACTCATATTGGTCTAAAGTATAATTTAGCTTGCAGCAAATGGTTCATAAGTTTTTCATCAATCTTCAAAATATCATAATTTATTTTGGAAATCCTAAGAACTCTGCCTCCCTCCCGCCCACCTCTCATCTCCACTTCTATCTCTCTCCTCCAAATTTTGTATTTCTACAGAAACGAAAAGAAGCAACAATAATAGATGTTGGACTGCAGCAGAAACTAAGTGATGTTTTGCATGTACATCATCATTTTGTGACATGACCAAGAATATTTATTGTATTTTTGAATTATATGCACAAACAAATGATTTTCTTTTGAAAGCCCATAGTCTTTATCCCAGTAATCACTGCAGTTCTCTGTGTTTTCCCATCACTGTACCTCTGCAGAATCTTCACAAAAATCACTTTCGTTGCTGATGCATTATCTGCCATCATTTTTACAATAACTGCCACATTATTCTTTGAAGATGATCTTATTGCGGCCTGGCTTTGTTAAATTTCAGAAAACTGAACGCCAGAGACCACTATGTCTGTAGAGACTACAAGCATTGTCATCAAAGACATAAGAACTTAAAACTACCCATTTTCTCTTCTCTAGTCTCTCTTCATTCTCCAAAATGTGTGAAGAATGTTTTTTATAGTGCATTTTTCATGACTTTTTCTCTGTTCATTCACCAACATTGGGGCATACCTATTTCTCTGCACTTTTATTCTTGAAAATGTAATTGTTTCTGAGGATGATCCTGGGAACGTTTTAACATTATTGTCCTGTGTTGGCAAATGCTTTCTCTCTTTTTGAGAAAATAGACTGATTTAGTTATTTTGTAACAAAAACTAATGACTCAGATATCAGGACTCTCAGGCAGGGGTTTTCTAGAACCCAACATTTCGGAGCTTTTAAGCCTTTTTCATACTTCTGACTTTTTGTTTTCAAAGACTATGGACAAGAAGAGTCATTTAGAAAAAGAAATTGATATTAAAATTTCCAATTATGCTTTCTTTATTCAAAAATAAGTTTTTACAGATGTTATTTCCTAGTTATTCACAGGCTTGCTGTCTCTTGTAGACAATGTTGTAGAGATGAGGTAAGCGCTTTCTTCATGCCAGCTTTCCTCCCAGCCGTCACCCGTCTTTGCCTTCGGGTCTGGCTCCTTTCTTTCATAGTTATATTGTCAGCTTTCTATTCTAAAAATTTATTATTATAATATGCTTGCTTTTCTCATGATTACCTCAATTTTGCTTACTGATTTTTATTACAATTGCCAATGAATATTTCAAGAAACACTTCTACTGTTGAATTACCTAATCACTGTAGGTTGTCTGATGTAGATAGTCCATTGTGTTACTCAAGATCCTCTCGGAAAATACCTGAAATGTGTTACCCTGAAGTCTATATACACCCATACATATTGGCAATCAATTTTTGGATTCCACACCTTTCCTTCGCCTCATAAAACTGAAGAAAATATTCTTTAGCTATATATTTGCTCTCATAGCTAATTTGTTCTTATTGATACTGTCACCAGAACAGAGGAGATTTGTGCCTTAGTGCAGACTAATACCTTGTTAAGAGCTTCAAAAGCTAGAATATGCACTTTGGAAGTCTGAAGTTCCCATGCTGGTGTGGGAAATCCTTCTATATATATGTTGTTTTATTGGTTAATGAATAAAGAGGTTGTTTTTGGCCAATGGCTTAGCAGAATATAGCCAGGCTGGATAGATATACAGAGAGAGTAGGCAGAGTCAGTGAGATGTCATGTATCCCAGCCAGAGACAGACGCCTGATAGAACTTTACCCAGTAAGCCACAGTCATGTGGCAATACACAGATTAATAATAATGGGTTAATTTAGGATATAAGAGTAAGAAAGAAATATGCTTAAGATATTGGTCAAACAGTATTACAAATAATATAGTTTCTGTGTGAGTATTTCGTGGTCTGGGCAGCCAGGAAAGAACAAGCAGCAGCCTCTGCCTTCACTGTGCAATCAGGACCAACACTGCCAAAGCTATTGGAAGCAGCTGGGTGCCTATTGGCCTGCCTCTCATTTACCAGAACTGTTGCCAGAACAGGTAGTCCAAACAGAAACTAAAGGCTAGTTCAGGCGTCTGGGGTGTCTCTCAGAAAAACAGCTGTGGCTTCCTTAGGAAGTTTTCATTATTAGCCGTCAGCCACAGTTCTGTATACCCTTGGGTCCAGTCCTGGCATAACTGGCCTAGTCGGATGCACTTTATGACTGCGGACATTCACAGAAATCCATTTGAGCAGTCCCGTCACTGGTAGAACTCTAAGAACTCCCTCAAGCTGTGAGCCATATGTGACTTGCTATTAGTTGGCTTTCTATCTGTCTATTCCGGAGACTTCCGTTTACTGAGGCTCTAGTCATCCCTATGACGCAAGCAAAAACAATGTGTAAGATTCTTTTTAAAAAACGCACTCAAGATAGATTGTCAGATTTTTAACACTAGCTACCACTCTTATTTCTGTAAACATAACATGTTTTCCTGAAAAAAATTGAACATATGAGACTTTTTGTATTTATTTCTTAAGTAGTATACAAATATAGAGAAATTTTTCGTGAGACACAAAGTGTCCCGATAAGCACGCTGTGTATCATTCTGCATCTGTAAGCCCATGTTTTTGCAGATGTGAATATTGGACAAAAGCTGAAATTTTGGGGCCACATCAGGTGCTCTAGTTTCTTGTCCCTGGATGCACTAAAAATCCATTTGCTGTATTAGATTCTAGGAGATAAGATTGGTGAGAGGGATTGCTGGCCACTCATTCATCACAGAAATGGAATTTTGCTAGAAGATTGTGATTTTCCTTTATAAATTTTACAAAACGCAGCTCTGTTTGAGAGTACAAATGTCATCATTTCACTTTTTGGAAATAAATGAGAAAGATAAGGCACATTCAATCTTAGATTAGTTGTCATGCATGTCATTAGAGATAATTCTTAAGGATGCTGAAGGACTAAGATCCAGCAACATTTTGCTCAGAGGATATTAGTTTCATACTGGATACAAGGCAAGGCATTTTGTGCCAATGGAAGTCAAAGAGGATTTATTTCTAATTGTAAGCAAAGCATTTGTGGAGACATAGAGCAAGACAAAAGAAATTTGAGCAACTATCAAACATAGCAGATGGGTGCAGGAGCTCCTTTGCATTTATGGGGGCTTCAGTTTGATACCCACCACTATAAAGATCTTTAATAAAAATAAAAAAATGGGAATTTTAGTATTGAACTTTTGAGTTGACTAAACTGTCAAAAAAGAGCTCAGTTATAATTTGCTCCCTTTCAGGGCATAACATCAGGGTATTTAGGAGTTTACCCATCAGTAACTTTAAATGCATATGAAAGGTTCAGCCCAAGTAAAACTAAGTAGTGTCCATCAAGCCCCTTTCATTCCTTGTGCTCTGATTTTATTCCAACTTCTTTAAAGGCTGAAACAAGTTGACCCTGCTTAGGAATTTGTCGCTGTTTTGTTTCCTTCTCACATGGATTTAAAAAAAAAAAATGTGTTGCCTCATGATTACCACTATAGAGAACCCCACAAAAAGACCATCTCTCTTACAACATTCTCCAGTCTAGTGACTGCATGCTCTTTAATTTCTTTCAATTTCAAACTTAAAGAATAAACATCTAACCAGAAAAAGGAAAGAGAAACAAAAAGTCAGAAGGAAGCTTGGATAGTAAGAATATACCAATGGTTTAGACATCTATAGAAAAAAAAGTCTATATTGGAGCAGCACCATCGCCTATAAAGAAGGAAAGAATTCAACCATTAATCAAAAGCAATCTGTAAATTGTGTGGGCAGATTACTATACTCTGAATACAACGTTTGGTAATGTTGGTATTCCTAAAAATGTTGTGTATCAAAAAAGACAATTAATTTATACTTTTAATTCAATGAAGAAAACTCCACAGATGTTTTTGAGAAATGTAACATGTATTTTCATTTTATGTTAATTATGGTTTATACAATTCCAACCAGATGTGTTTGCATGCGTGGCAGCTAATTCAGGCCAACTGTCTTCAAACATATTCTCTGAAATGGAGGTAGGTTTCACAGACCTCTCAGTCATCCCTAATCTTATCAAGAATATTTGTAGTTCTCAAGTGTTTGTGTGAGAATTCAAATGTGTTGTGGGTGGACAGCAGTTTACGAATAGTCTAGAAAGAGATGCACATATACTGAGAAGGGAATAAATTATTGTACACGATAAGAGATCATCAGATATACTGAAGAATTTATTGATACGGATGGTATGACATTTGTGTCAGTTCGTGTTCAACTTTCGGTTTTCTTTACCCAAACTCAGTATGAAATAGCAAAATATCTGAGTTTTCACTTAAAGAACGTTGACTTCCAATGCTTTAAAACATCATGCCAAATGTATAATTTATTTAATTTGAACATGGATGTTTAGTGTATTTTCTTACTTAAAACTAATGTAAGTAGAAACAATAAGACTGAGATATATTCTTTCCAGACAGTTCTCGTTTACACATATGCATAAACTCCTTGCTTTTTCAAAGCTAAGAATTTATAAATTTTAACACATAGTAAAAAGGTTCATTTTTAAAGTAACTAGTAGTAAATTGTCATAAGATGTCATATTAAATATAGTTATGATTATCTTTTAAAAGTATTTTTTGGAAACACACACACATGGACACTCACACAGTCCTGAAAGCTGGTCAGTAATGCTGTAGATTTTGGAAAGAGTCTGTCTACCTTTTCTTTACCTTCTGCATGAGTCAATAGTTTGGCCATCTGTAAAAAACACTACCGACCAAGACAAAACCTGTGACTTCCTTTGGAGTAGATGTTTGTGAAGTGGGATCTTGGTAAGTCCAGGAAGAGAGTATCTGTCACTCGCTAATCACTTTGTATGTTTTCATTTTTACAGACCTCTACTGTCCACTCCTATTCTTTCTTTCTTTCTTTTTCTTGTGTTATTTTTGTTGTTGTTGGTGGTGGTGGTAGTGTTTTTTGAGACAGGGTTTCTCTGTGTAGCTTTGGAGCCTGTCATGGCAAAAGTTCTTGTAGATCAGACTGGCCTCAAACTCACAGAGATTAGCCTGCCTCTGCCTCCCAAGTGCTGGGATTAAAGGTGTGCACCACCACTGCCCGGCTCACTCTTGTTCTTTCTGTGTGTGTCTTTGTCCTGTGCATTAATAAGAAATAGTGAGGTTTTGTAGCAATTCAAGTTCAATGATTTTTTTGAGTCCTTACCTCTACAGCTCTCAAAAGCCATTTCTAAAAAACAGAATGCATAGTGTTCGATGTGTTAGCTTAATTTCCTCCAGATAGTATGAAATAATTTTGATACTTTTCATGCTTTCATTAAAGCAGATCTTGCTTATAATTGTTGGCATTCCTTACAATAGCCAGTTACCTGCTCTTTTTCAACCTTCATTGACACTGGAGAAATAATCTTTTTAACTTTGTGGATGCTTTTTATTTTATGTGTATGAGTATTTTGCCTACAAAATACATGAGTATTTTGCAAATATATGCACCACTTGTGTGCTCAGTGCCTGTGAAAATCAGAAGAGGGCACTGATTCCTCTAGAATCAGAGTTAATAGTTGCTGTGAGTCACCATATGGATCCTGGAAACTAAACCCCAGGTCATCTGTGTGACAGCCATTGCTCTTAACTGCTGAGCCATTACTTCAACCTAGAGAACAATATTTATTTATTTATTTGTATAGCTTTACTTCTTTATGCCTTAAATTTATACCTATTACTACTTGGATGGGAAAGGAAGAGATTTTACATGAAAACCCCACCTTCTGTTTAGGGCTATTGTATGAGGTGTCAGAACCAAAAATGAGGATATGTGCTTATTATAAATCCTAGGAAATTATCATAGAAATCTACATTTTTCTGTGAGTCTACACAATTGCATAAAAATTTTATTAAATAAAGTAAAATTCACAAATTGGTATTTCATATTACCATAATTGAGATTCTTTCCTTGGTCAGGTTGAATAAATGGTCCTCCCTATGAAAAATAACAAATTTGATATGCTCAACTGCTTTTAGGGCTACATAAAGCATCGTCTGGCTTTTATAAGTAGGCAGAAAATTAAATGTGATATAGTTCAAAAAGTGTTTTGATTTCAATATCATTGAAAATAAACTGAGACTCAAAAGCCAACCAAACCAAAAAGTCTAGTATCCCATGGACATGCTTTCTCTTGTGAATAAGTCAAGTAATTTTAAAGCATGTGTTTCACCTGCAAATTGATACCCAAGTTAAGAGCTATGAAGTCTTTTTAACCCTTTCACGAGAGCTGTGGTGCTGCTCACTAGCGGTAATTGCAGTGGTCCACCGTTCAATGAGATGTCCGCTTCTTTTGGTCATAACGTCTGTTTGAATGGCTGTAGTCATGTACTCAACCAGAGGAGGTGGATATACACAGAGGTATTTAAGAGGTCAACTCACGCGGCTTGTGATTTGGGGATTTGCAGCTGTAGAGCATGCCATTTGCGCGAAATTACCCCTGCTTTTGTGCTTCTCCTTCCAGTAAGTTAGAATCCTAGTTTGCTCATATCTGTGCCGTTTTCCACAAGGACTCTGAAATAGACTTAACTGGGTGGGTGCAATAGTTCCCACTGGGGTCTAATAGGGATTAGGTACTCAGATTAGCCACCTGCCACATGAAGAGCTTTCTAGAATGAGGTGGAAGAAACATAGAGAGCATCTGTATGGGCCAAAGTTCAGGCATCATAATTGAAGTCCCTGGGAAGTCAGGGAAATAGCCTGAAGACAAGGACCACTAATGATGTGTTAGCACAGGGAGGGCTTGACACCAAGAATGAACTTCCTCTGTTTCATATTTTGCATCCAGCTGTTAAAACCATGGGACTTGGCCAGACCGATGATAAAATGAGGGTGCACTGGGTTTGTATAGATCTGGAAACATATCTAAAGATTACAGAAACATATAAAAATAAATGCACAGAAAAGCTATAATATTCCTTTAACTGTCACTATGCTTATGCAGGAATACAGCTTCCTCTATTTCATTTGATTGAGAAATATGTTAAAGACCTATTGTCAATTGGAAAACATTCAATTTCAATAACTATGAAAAGACAAAATAACTTAATGAAAAATCAAACAAAATTGAAAAAGAAGTTTGACAGAATTTATATCAATAAACACTTATATGAATTTCTTGCCAAATAATTTCCATATTAAATTATATATATAACATAATTAAATTTGTTATATGTTATATATGGCAATATAATATACCCATATATATATATGTTCATAATATTAAAAACTAATTTGTTTTCTTCTACTTTAATATTTCTAACAGAGAAATGTCAACCAGAGTTTCAGAAGGATATAGTCATTTACATCATTTCTGTGACCCTTTGTGGATACATATTTCATTATGTTTAAAAACTCTAATTTTCATCCTTAAAACACTGACTGTGAAATATCTTAAAAGCCTAGCTGTTATTGGCTTTAAAACCTGCAAATCCAGATTGTTACTCTAAAAAAACATTCAATATCTCTGGATGTGATATCATCTCATTCAGCTGTCGTTCATAGTTGTATGCCCAGTGGTACGACCTGGGGGCCACTGCAAATGCAAAACCCAGTCCCAGCTATGGATACTCTTGAGACTAATTAGTAATCATATATTGATACATCTTGAGCTCCTACTGCTTCACCCACAAGGTATATATTAATCCTCCAAGTCTTGGAGGAATCAAACAACATAGTCTAGTAAAGACACGAAGAGCTTTCCTGGCCCAAGCATCTCTCTACAGCACATGAGGAAGATCTGACTGAGACACCAGAGAGCTGCTGCCTGTGTGTCTCTTCAGAGGGTTAGGTAGTCTATAGATATCCAGACATAAAAACAGAACAAAGTGAACCCTGCTCCTCTGCAGGGAGTTGACTGCATGTGAGGTGGGTAGGAGAGAGGAGATGCTCAGACTTTGGCAGGAAGGAAGTCCATGTGACAAAAAAGGGTCAGCTTTCAAAGATGGAAAGGCCCACATGGTGGGTTAAGATCAAAGACATACACTGTGATTTTTTTTTATAGTGCCTCTTGTTTCACTGAAGAACTTTTAGTATTACTGAGAAGCTTACATAGAAGTACTTTTAGTATTGCTGAGAAGTTAGATGTGTATGTGTAGTCTAAAGGGAACCATTCATGCTTGTGGATTAAGGAAATAACTGAATTATGACACATTAGATTTTACTTTGTGATTTTGAGGTTTCATGGAAATCACTCACCACAGTCTTCCTCCATGCAAAATCCCTGTGATCCTAGACATCAGACATTCAAACTTAATAAAATCCTGTATTGCCATATCTATTTCAGTTTCTACTCCTATATACTAGTTGTTTGATGAAGACACTGAATCGAGATCAAATATTTACCAAGATTATAGACTTCATCTCTGACCCTTTTGGAAAGTTGTATTCTCAGCTAACCTGTCCACATTAACTCATCTTGGAGACAAAAGGAACTCCGTCTTCAAGTATGGTAGTGTTTACAAGTTCTCTTCCAGTGCTGGTGTTATTTTACCTGGCAGCACCATGAGAAATCTCATGAGGTCATTTCTCTTGAGTTACAGTCAAAAGAAACAAATTGAAAGCCAGCCATTAAATACATTGTGTTTGACTTTGGAGGCAACTCCAATATGTTAATATTATTCTTGCCTTCTGCTTTAATATAAGTACCAATTTTTATTTTCATTTTTTTTCTTTTGTGGGTTTGATAGGCTGAAAGGAATGCATAGAGTCCGGGGAACAAACCTACATGACTAGCCAACATTCATGCTAATGATCATCTATTAACAGCCAGGAGATTTAAATGAAGTTGAACGATGCATAACATCTAAGCACGAACATTGAGCAAAATTCATTTTGGTTAATTTTTATTGTTATTGACATTGTTTTATTTTTCTGATCCTGATTTAAAAAAAGGTATTTGGGGTAATTTAATGACTGATCTCAGTTGATGACCTTGGGTTCACCTCAGTACCTCATACCAGCATATTCTGATAATACGAATTATTGCTTAAGCATTTTTCCATTGTATATTTTAATGCATCCTTCAGAAATAGTAAATGTCTTCCTGAGAAGTAAGTTGTAGTATTGTAGTTTGGATAGAAAGTTTTCACAGTTCATACATACATATAGAGAGACATGATATAGGGAGGAGAGTCATATAGTTATTACAGTTAGTCTGGCCATTTCACCTTCATCCGATACTCACCATTACTCTAGAACTTTCCTAGGTTGGAGATCAGGAATGCAGCCCTGTGGCTAACCAGAGCACAAGGGAAGCATTAATGTAGGAGAAATCTGAAAGCTCAAAGCCCACAACCTGTGCAGAGACTATTGCATGATGGGATATGGTATTTAGATTATGCAGAACAGAAAGGTTACAACCATTATTCTTACTGGAAATGACTGTGTGCTTCTTACTTCTAAATTCATGACATATATATATATATATTTCGATTTTAAAGAAAATTTTGTAGCTATATTTTTATACACCGTGAGAGATCAAAAGATGGAGAAAGCAAGTTAGCCAGAGTTGTGTGGATTTTATTCCTATTGGATGAAATGCATAGTTGGATAGATTGTATCACCTCAGTGGACAAGGATTTTTCCACAGTGCTTTCATTTCTCCTATTCCTAAGTCTCCTTAAATTACAGAAGCAATGGCATCATTTAGCATAGAACGGACAGCCTTTGGTTGCCGTACATATAGAAGAAGCTTGTTCTATTCTGTTGAGTATCTAGTTAATTTGGCCTCTGTGTTTTTAAATAACCCAAATCAGTAAATGAAAGAGCAACAAAAAAAGAGGAAAAATAAACTTCTTTTTCTCATTTTTATTTTCTCATAGCATGCCTTATGTTAAGTTGACTAAATCCTATCATTAGAAAACTTGCTAAAATTTGTTTAGTAAATCTCACTGTGTGAAATTATAGGTATTTTTTTTCCAGAAAAATAATTTAACTCAGTGGAATGAATGTTTTGTTGTTTTTCCCTTCAGATTTTCTTTTCGGTTTGTATTGCTTTCTGGGGAGTCAGAAGCATGAGACAACTTACCGCAGGATCTCGGAAGCAGCCCTAGCACACAGGTCCCTCCGTCCTTCAGGTTGTCCATGGCATGTACTGCCACATAAAGACTGTGGTCTTGCATACTGCCTACAGGAACTACTTAGTTGATGGAAATGAAAGTACGTATTTACCCATGTTTTCACACTTGTTTAATTTTGAAATTAAAGTGATTTATAGTATTTCCGCTTACTAAACGTCAAATTCTTTTATATACACCGAGGCTGTATTCAGTTTTCTTTCTGTAGCAATGACATGGAAAGAAAATGTTGGGCTTTAAACACTTAAGACGTTGAAAATTACCTTTGTCTTTCTTGGGGTGACACTGTTTCTTAAATGTTTGCTGAAACTATACTTAAACATATCTCTGTAGTCCTTAAAATGTGTTGGAGGCTGCATGAGCTGACATTTGCCTTTGCAAACAATTCATTTGTATTGCCACATTACTTAAAAATACATCAATGTGATTAAAATGTAATAATTGGAAAGAATTAGTTTCTTTGACATGCTAGTTTATAATACATCCTTCTAAAATGTTGAGTCAACTTGTTTCAACAGCTTGAAGAGTACATTATATGTCATGCTATTTCAAATTGACAGAAAAATGTTAATAAAATTGTCTGAACAGAAGTGACATAAGCGGTGTGTGTGTTGCTTATTGAAATATGAAGTCTGTTGTGTGTTTCATTTGGAAAGAACTGACAAAGATAAGAACTGAGTCCAGAAAGGATTGAATAAAAATCTTTAAAAAATAAAAACCTGTTCCCTTCCTCCAATATTTATCCGACAATTTTAACAGTCCAGATCAAAAGTGCTCACCTACATTGATGACTTCTGTTACTATCTACTGTCATGCATCACTGAATTAAGAAGACTAACTAGAGTTGTTTAGACCCACTTTTAAGTATGTTACTTAAGATTTGAATAAAAAAGAAACTACTGGGAGCTGTGAGAGAGCCAGGCTGCAGGAGTCTGTGGGCACTCATGAAGCAGAGCAGAAGCACATTTACTTTTCAAGCTGGAACAGCAGAAGAAAATTAACTTTGCATGATGAAAATATTAATAATTATATCTCAAGCGTCAGAAGTGGGTTTGGCTTTGCTTCATTCAGTTTTCATAGTTCTTAATTAAATCCAGGATTTGAGCAAATTCTGAGGTCAATAACAAATATTAAATCCTACTTTGGTGCCTCGTTAACAGGCATTGCTGGACTTCCGAGGTGTAGACCCACCTTGCAGGAGAGAGCCCTCTGCTGGTTTGAAACTGTTAATGTATAATTAAAATTCTTGAGACCTGTATTCTCCCAAAATTCTATGCTACAAATGACATCATCATTCATTAATTGAAAGAAGGGAGAATTTTTATGTATTCTAAAATGTTTATTTAGCATAACGGAATAGTTCTATGATGGGGGTATACTTGAATATATATGAATATACAGGGGTAGTTTAAAATGAGTTTAATCATGAAAATAATTGAAGTGCACTTCAGGTTTTTTTTTGAATAAACTCAAATGTATTTCTTTTCTCTTGACTACCTTAAAATTTTCACTATGACTTAGTTAATTTTCTTTTAGAAATGCAGGTATTTTCAAGTTACAAATTTCCAAGCCTTTGAATATGGATGTAGTTCTCAGGGAATATGCCTAGGGCCTCTGTGCATGGGATAGGGCATTTTTTTTCACCTTCAACCTTGCTAATTTTCCAGCCCTATTTTCTCTGGCGAGCACTAATGCATGATGGCAGACCATGCCACTCTTAGTAATATCATAAATTGATCTTGAATGATTCCATGTAATTTATGCTGGCTCTCGACTGGAAGAACTTTAATTGTCCCTACTTTTCTCCCTCCAGAGAATAGCTCTAAAAATAAGGCTCACCAACTACACATTTTTGATGGAGAAGTGCACAGTGTCTTTGCAATAAAGACAAGGACACTCAGTCCTGCTTATCTACCAGAACGACCAAAATTTGTTTATAGGGCGGCACTCTATCAGCAATTTTTAAAGGAACCTCTAAGTTATTGCAGAAACAGGTATTACAAAACCATTTTGCAGAACTCTGAGGGGCCTAAATCACTTACTCAAGGCCACCATAGGATATTTTTGGTGATCATTTTTTTTTAATTCTCTGAATTATAGCACTGAAGATTGTGACACTTTTCCATTTCCTGCTATAAGGTATCCGAATTAAAACTTAAGAATTACAGAATCAGAAGTTCATGTACAGAGGATGCCATTATCTTCAATGTGATGCTTCTATTTACATAAAAAGACAAGATTTTAGTGAGAATTTTTCTGTGGTGATGGTTTAGAAGGTGCAGGAGTCCTGGGCTTTTAAAACTTGTAAGACTGGTGTCCTAATGAGTTTTTTATGCTCAAATAAACACCATAATCAAAAGTATTTTGGGGAGAAAATGGTTTGTTTCAGCTTATGCTTCCAGGTAACAGTTCATTATTGAGGAGAAGCAAGATTGGAGCTAAAGCAAATCACAATATAATGCTGCTCACTGGCTTACTCCCAATGGCTTATTTAACCTGCTTTCTTATATAACACAACATAGTTTGCCAAGTAGTAACATTGCCCACAGTGGGCTGGGCCTTACTATATCAATTAACAATCAAGAAAATGACACAGACTCACCTATAGGCATCTGATAGAGACATTTCTTCATTTAGGTTCTTCTACCTCAGGAGAACCTGGTTTGTATCTTGTGGGCACAAAAATATAATCTGGACAGTTGGTAATGTACTAGCTTTATTGATCAGCTTGTCATCATCAAAAAGAGTCCATCCCTGTTCTTAGTTTGTCTTTTTCACTATAATTTTCCATTCATTTTCCTAGCATTAGTCAACTTGTAATCGTATTTGTTAAACTTCAACCTAATCTTCCGAAGGTCATGCTGTTTGGGATATGTGACTTTGTAATTGCATTGAGACGTTCAAGTAGCCACTTAATTGAACGAGCCTGCCTTATAATTGGCATTTCTATCTTACATTATTGTTTGTTAGATTTTTCAAAATCTTGCTCTACTGTGCCATGCCATTTAACTGTGCAGTGAGGAATCTACAAGAGAAACCCTGAGAGGCATTCTGCAGTATCAGTATGCATTTTGGTGAAAGACGATGCAGTCTACTAGTGGGAATGACAATAACCAGAAATCAAGCTCCCTTTCTTCATCCTATTTCCCCTTTTCTCAAAACCTTCATGTAAGATGAAAAACATACCGAGTACCCTGGCTTCCGGAATCTTAAAGTAATTTTTATATCACGGTTCTCTGCAACTCTACAGAAGCAAAGCTTTGTCTAAGTTTGACTCCAAGGAAAGAAACAGACAACATATTATCCATGATCAGAATACAGTTTTTCCAAATCTCATTCTGTTCTTCCTTGTTTTCAATAGCATAGCAACTGAGATTTTCTTCTAACAAAAGATAAAATTAGGAACAAATACTCTCAAAATAAAATGGTTTCCCATTGTTGTAGCAAGTAAGTACTTTCTAATTGGATTTCAGCCTTACTACAGGAGATGAAACCCAAGCCTGACACTTCTCAGAAGTATAGGAGTCTGAGACTAGATAATCCCTCTGCCCAAGAGAAAACCAAATATCACTCTTCTGCTAAAGGAAGCTAAAATTAAAACGACTTCTATCAACATTTGGCTATACCCATGGATCGGTGCCTTGTTCAGCGATCATTAGACAGGCTTCCTCCTGCAGCACATGGGAAATAGGAGGGAGACCTATGCCTGGACAGTGTCAGAGTGAGAGGTTGGGGAACTTGGGCCTGAATGAGAGACCTTCACCCAAGCCTTCCTGTCATGGACCAGAAAGTTCTGCTAAAGAGGAGAGAGAAAGATTGTAAGAGCCAGAGTGATGGATGATTCCAAGGAAGCAGTGTCTGCAGACACAACAGAAATGACATACACTGGACCTCACAGAGGTTGTGGCAGCATGCATGAACAGGCCTATGTCAGATGGGGTCCCAGTGCTGAGAAGGGGAAGTTTTTTTATCCCTAAGGAAGAAGCTATCTCTAATTTGCATCTGTCTGCAATGGAAAAACAAAAAAAAAATGAGTGTTCTGTAATGGAGTCTCCCTGAATATTTCAACCCTGGTCAGCAGTAGATGGCCAACAGAAAATGAACTCAATGGTACTTTTGTAGACTTTTTCTCTCATATTGCTTTGTTTGGGCATGGTTTTTATATTATTTTTAGCTTTCTTGTATTTACTTTCTGATTTTGTGTTTTAATGTTTGTGTGTATGTGCCTATTTCAGGTTATTCTGATGTGTTTAGACTTTTTGTTTGTTTTTTTCCTAAAGAAAGAGGGAAAGAAGGTATAGGTTGGGTCAGTGGGGAGATGAGAAGGATCTCAAGGAGTTGGAGAAGGAAACCAAGATACGAATATATTATATGAAAAATAATTTCAATAAAAATGTAAGCAAATAAAATAATGAAAATAAAATTAAAATATCTTAAAATAAATAAATGAATAAAAACAAATAGCATGGTTCTCTCTTATGTTGGGTGTTTTGAAATTCCGTTGCCCTCTTGACGTTTAGCCCATGTTTTCCAACTACTTCTGGCAGCCGGTACCCATGGTTATAGACATATTTGGTGGATATATTTTGGCATTTTACAATCAATAAGTACAAAGTTAGAAGCAGCATATATTTATATCATTTATAGCCGCACAAAAGAAACTGTTTTATTTTTACACAATAATTGTCTCTGTTCTCCCTTTTCTTTTTGTATCACCAGCACTGGGAATCAAATTCTGGTACTCTCTCATGCTAGGAAAAGGCTCTATCACTAAATTATATCTTTATTATTTCTGTAGATAATTCTAGAAATATTAACACATGATGGGAACATTCATTTGAATAAAAAAATCGTCCTACTATTAGGCTTCAGAACAATATATTTCTAAGCTGTCTTCACAATCAAGTACTGAGCATTTATATAAGCAGTCTAGAATGCAGTGGGGGAGAGATCTTGTCTTCTAACAATGTGCAAGATACTAGTTAGATTCACAGTAAAGCAGGAAGGAAAAAAAGTTCACTAAGCCATAGTGTTATTGTATAAGACAGTATCCCTGGTACAGCTAAGATCTTGACTAAGGTAAATAGGTGACAGTGATTAAACAAGAATACCACACAAAAAGTCATCATTAAATACCTTTACACACACGTAGATGTCACACACATTTTAACATTAAAATATTTTACATGCACTTTTAAATAAATTGATCTAGAAAGTTTAGCATCAGGGGAAACTTTTGGAAGATGAAGAGTGACAAGCTACAGCATAGGAAAGGACAAATGTTTGAGAAATGTGGCCACAGTGCCTGCTTCTGTCTTTAAACTGTCATTGATAGAACACTAGAGCCTACTGCTTTAGGTTTTGTAAACACTATTTAATAGTTTCAGCTCCTGGCAAATTCTCTTGTATTAATGTGAGAAATTTCATGATATGCTTTCCCTTTAACACATTCATAACTATAAAAGAGTTTCTTTCATAATGGTTTCTGTTCATTCTGCTCATCTCATCCAGACAACATGCATTTTGCTTACAATTAAGACTTGGAATTCAGCATGAGGTCTAACTCACAGGAAAACATTCATGTCATGACAATC